AGCTGCTTTGAAACAATGTGTATATTAAAAAGTGCAATACAAATAAATGTGAATGAACAAAACTTGATGCATCAATTTTTTTTTCTCCTCTCCAGATCAGTAGGGAAACCATATATTCACATTCCTTTATGTGAGTGAGCACTCCCATGCAGCACAGCAAACTATAGAGACTGTTCAAGGACAACATGCTTTAGTTTATTATAAATGTATAAATCGATTGCTGTAAATAAGTGCATAACAAAAGTCAACATACATAAAATATATGATTCAATGTGTAAAAATGTTTTAAGTTGTTTTAAATTGGAATATACTACAAATATATTTTTATATATTAATTATTGTGGGGTGCACAAGAATCAAAAACATTGAACAAGATTAGTTTTCACTTTACAAAATATCTTCATTTATATGGAATGAATTTTCTAAGACAACAAACTTAACATTTCCCATGAGATTAGTAAAACGACAATGAACATTAAGATGTGATTGAACTTGACTAACATGCAAGTTGTAAGAACACACACACATATAATTATATTTATATAGAGAGGCTGAAATTACTTTGGCAGAAGACCACGATGTCATTTATATAGCATACACGGACTTTTATCATGGTAAGTTCAGCCTAATATATGTTAACAAGGCATGTAAGGATAGCTGACCACATTAATCCTCAAATAGTATAGTAATTTGAATTTATCTTTCAAAAACAACACTGATATAACTACATATATATACTACGTATACATTATTTTATAATGTAAATAAATTATTTTATTGTCTACTAATTACCAAAAATCACAGTTCTGTCTCTCCAACTCAATGTATTTAAATTGCCCGCTATGATCTTCCTGGAACTATTTGAGGTCTACGTGAATCACGTGACGATCGAGCGTTTTGGACTTCCGTTGACGCAACTCTCTCTTTCTATGTCTCTGGGCGCAACTATAACAACATGTCTATAATCCCACCCACTCTAAAGCGGTACTAAACTGCAGTGGAAATTCAAACTGAGCAGAGCCATACCATGCAGTGGAAAAGCGCCAATTTTTTGGTATAACTTTTAATTCATCAACACAATGACTTGAATACACCTCTATGATCAATGGATTTCTCAATAAAAGTTCATTTAGACATTACAAAAACTTCATCCCAAGGGCAAGGCGTGGAGAAGAGCAAGGAGAGAAATCAGATTACAGTCAAATAAAGCCTACACTGAGTCTCAAGCACTGTCCAGACTTGGGCTTCACAAATCTTTATTGAAAAGGATTAACCATAAATAATTATTGCACACACACCTGTGGAACAGTTTGAGACACTCATGGTTTACAGGTGGCAGATTATAATAACTTAGGACTGTAAAGCGACCTTTCTACTGACTCAACACAAAAATAAAGATCACAGAAGATAGATGTCCAGCGTTTTGGACTTCCGTTGACGCAACTCTCTCTTTCTATGTCTCTGGGCGCAACTATAACAACATGTCTATAATCCCACCCACTCTAAAGCGGTACTAAACTGCAGTGGAAATTCAAACTGAGCAGAGCCATACCATGCAGTGGAAAAGCGCCAATTTTTTGGTATAACTTTTAATTCATCAACACAATGACTTGAATACACCTCTATGATCAATGGATTTCTCAATAAAAGTTCATTTAGACATTACAAAAACTTCATCCCAAGGGCAAGGCGTGGAGAAGAGCAAGGAGAGAAATCAGATTACAGTCAAATAAAGCCTACACTGAGTCTCAAGCACTGTCCAGACTTGGGCTTCACAAATCTTTATTGAAAAGGATTAACCATAAATAATTATTGCACACACACCTGTGGAACAGTTTGAGACGCTCATGGTTTACAGGTGGCAGATTATAATAACTTAGGACTGTAAAGCGACCTTTCTACTGACTCAACACAAAAATAAAGATCACAGAAGATAGATGTCCAGGGTCCCTGATCATGTGGTCGAACATGCCATATTCCTGCTGCAAGACGACATGAGTACTGCTTATGTGGCCAGAGCAATAAACTGCAATGTCCATAATTTACTGTAAGAAGCCTATAAGACAGTGCTACAAGGAGATAAGGACAGCTGATCATTCTTGCAATGGCAAACCAAGTGTCCCCAGATGCGTTTGAGAACTTGCATGTGCCTTGGTGGAAAAGTGGGGTAATATCTCAGAGAGAACTGGTAAATCTCAATGTCCATGAGGACGTGATGCACTGTAGTGCTTAAAGCAGCCAGTGGCTACACAAGATACTTACTGTAACTTTTGAAATTAACACCCCTCTCTGTTCAGGGACTCATCCCATTTGTTTAAACGTTAGGAAAACTGCAGTTTGACTTTGTAAAAACATTTACCTTTTAAGATATGACTGAAATAAAAGCAGTTGAAAGGACTTTAGGATTTATAGGCAAACTACGACAAGCAACTAGAGAAACTCACACTAGTGATGTCAATGTACAATCAACCTGTAGGGGACACAAACTAGTCACCCATGATTTTTGCATAACCAGTCTGTGATCATGCCTTAAACCAAGCAGATGTAATCAGTACAAAGAGCTCTTAAAATAACTTAAACCGATTACACAACCACAGAGAGAACCCCAAACAAAGAAAACCAAAGATGAGGTAAATGTGCCAATAGAACGTCACAGATATCGAAATACCAGTAGACATGTTTCTACCCCCCTCCCCCATTTTCCTAGAAGACATCATACACCCAACATTAAATTACTGCATCAGTAGACCACATTAAAGCCCTTGCGGATTTAGATAACCGAAAAAGAACCCAGCAAACACAAACCAATGTTTATGTGATATTTATTGTTTATATAAAAAACAAACACTAAATGAAGTTAAATCAACTGTGCAGCTATGACTTCACTTGCTGCAACATGCCTGGCGAGAAGCGCTTATTTGGAGTAGTCTGGGAGTGCAGTGGTGCTGTATCCTGAAGGTCAGGCTGCAACACAGACTCATAGCTTGAAACAAGTTGTACATTACTGGGTTGCTCTAGGGGTTGGGCACCAAAACTGGAAAGAGACCCATAACTTGACTGCTCTGGCATAGAAGGGAGCTGGAATCCAGGCTGAAGAGACACAGATTGGCCACTGGGCTGGGACACAGACTGGTAGGGAGCTTGTGCGAACTGGTAGTTGGTTTGTGATGACTGCAGGCCACTGGGTTGCGAGACAGGCTGGTATCTGGTCAGTCCTGGTTTTTGGCCATCAGGCCGGGGCACAAACTGGTAGCGCGTTTGGGCTGACTGCAGGCCACTGGGCTGGGAGACAGGCTGGTATCGGGTCAGTCCTGGTTTTTGGCCACTAGGCTGTTGCATAGAGTGGTAGCTGGTTTGGGCTGATTGGTAGCTGGTTTGTGCGGACTGCAGGCCAGTGGGTTGTGAGACAGACTGGTATTGGGTCACTCCTGGTTTTTGGCCACTAGGCTGTTGCATAGACTGATAGCTGGTTTGTGCGGACTGCAGGCCAGTAGGTTTGGGCACAGACTGGTAGCTAGCTTGTGACGACTGCAACCCACTAGGCTGTGAGATTGGCTGGTATTGGATCTTTCCTGGTTTTTGGCCATCAGGCCGGGGCACAAACTGGTAGCGCGTTTGGGCTGACTGCAGGCCACTGGGCTGGGAGACCGGCTGGGTTCGGGGCACTCCCGGGTTTTGGCCCCTCGGTTGTTTCAGGCCAGTAGGTTGGGGCACAGACTGGTAGCTAGCTTGTGACGACTGCAACCCACTAGGCTGTGAGATTGGCTGGTATTGGATCTTTCCTGGTTTTTGGCCATCAGGCCGGGGCACAAACTGGTAGCGCGTTTGGGCTGACTGCAGGCCACTGGGCTGGGAGACCGGCTGGTATCGGGTCACTCCTGGTTTTTGGCCACTAGGTTGTTGCATAGAATGGTAGCTGGTTTGAGTTGACTGCAGGCCAGTAGGTTGGGGCGCAGACTGGTAGCTAGCTTGTGCCGACTGCAACCCACTAGGCTGTGAGATGGGCTGGTATTGGATCGGTCCTGGTTTTTGGCCATCAGGCCGGGGCACAAACTGGTAGTGCGTTTGAGCTGATTGGTAGCTGGTTTGTGCGGACTGCAGGCCACTGGGCTGGGAGACCGGCTGGTATCGGGTCACTCCTGGTTTTTGGCCACTAGGTTGTTGCACAGACTGGTAGCTGGTTTGAGTGGACTGCAGGCCAGTAGGTTGGGGCACAGACTGGTAGCTAGCTTGTGCCGACTGCAACCCACTAGGCTGTGAGATGGGCTGGTATTGGATCGGTCCTGGTTTTTGGCCATCAGGCCGGGGCACAAACTGGTAGTGTGTTTGAGCTGATTGGTAGTTGGCTTGTGCTGATTGCTGGCCAAGACTTGAACTCAGGATGGGCCTGCCACCAGAAAACTGCTTGGAACCAACTTGAAGTCTACTGCTCTGGGGCTTGACAAAGGTTTGGGCATTAGCGAACAGTAGACCACTGGACTGGGAGCCAGTCTGCACTGGTTGCTGGCTATTAGAGGCCACAGACTCCTTACTAGTCTGCACTACAGTTTGATAGTAAAGCTGTGCTGGCTTGGGTACAGTCTTACTTCTCACACTTGTACTCAATGCAGTGTCTCGAGAACCAGAAACAAATCTGCCACCTGGAGATATCAGAGAGCCTGGATTTTGCCTTCGAACATCAGATTCAGAACCAATGTTATATACACTGGTCACTGGACTAGAGCCATACGAGCCAGTTTGAGGGCTATAGCTTACACGGTTATATACACCATTAACTGTAGCACCATAAGTGAAATCCTTGGATCTGAGTGGCCTAAAGGGATCCAATACATCTCCTTGGTCATACCAGCTGGAACTTTGCAGCTTCACATCATTCTGCATTGGGAGGCCAGCCTCATAGTACCCAGGATAACCGCCACTGCTGAAGCCACCAACTAAAACACAAGTACAAAGAAAAAGACTGTCAAACATCTTGGCAAATCTGAATTATAGAACTTAGACATGGGACATTCGACACGGAGGCTCCAAAGCCCATTTTACTCCATTGAAGCAGACTGGTTTGAAAAACTATCGAGGCTTGTATCAAATCTGTGATCACATGACCAATGATGCTTCATATGTCAATGAAACACCCGAAGCGAGGTGACTGATTCGCATCTTTGGTGTGGTGTCATTCATTATAAGGAGACATGAAACGCTTTGCGTTCCCTCCCTGCATCATAGTAACACTTTCATGTGTGAACAATGATTCTCAGAATGAAGACAGCTGCTATTGCAGAATATTGCTTTTGTTGAAACCGGGATCAACGAGCTGGGAATCATTTGAAAGTGGCTGCTATAATTGCAGCTGACCACTAGATGTCACTGGTAGGGTCTGTCTTTGAATCTTTTTTGGTACAATCAGGAAAAAGCTTCAAGGCTTCATCTGCCCAACTCTAATAGAATTTGACTGAACACTTACCACTTCCAATATGCCCATGGACACAAAAGCCAAAAAGTGCTAGAGAAAATCTGCAACACAAACAAATGTTAAACACACTTTGCTTTATAGAAATAAACAAAACAAAGGACAGAAACAACAAATTAAACCTTAAGAATTGGACAGTGGTACCCTCCATGTTCAGCAAAAAAAAACAAATAAAAATAAAACCAATACAAAATCAGGAGGCACATTTGTCCCCCCCACAGCACATATTAGTGCTGTTGAACTGGACTTTTTATAGTGCCTGCTACTGCCAATTGTCAGACAATCAGTTGTCATGGGAACATGTAATATACAGTTATTAGGTTCAGGTGTCACAGCCCTCATTACAGGAAAAGCTGACCTTCTTTTTCAGTCTTATTGAACTGATTTTGTCAAGCATATTTTTGTTTTACAGAATGAATGCATTCAAAGAAAAAAAAAGATGTTAGTGTTATTTAAAATATATTTTTACCAGATTTAATTGCCTATATTACTAGATTTAATAAGACATGTCTATGAAAGAATAATTAATATAATATTCCTATGGAGAGAACTGTGTAGAGCTTCTCCAAACATTGAATATTAAACAACATATAATGAAAATTTGATAATACTAAAAATCATAAGAAAAAAATAATCAGAACATATGGCTACTTTTAAATGGCTGTCATTAGAGAAAGATGCTTTTTGTCCCATAATCAGAGGCGGACAAAGTACACAACGAAGTGTACTTTAATTAAGTGACAAGTACAGGTACTGTCGGTCAAATATTACTCCATTACAAGTAAAAGTTGTAAAGATAGATTTTAACTTAAGTAAAAGTACAGAAGTACTTGCTTTTAAAAGTACCAAAAGTACATTTCCTTTTTTATGTCAATGCACTTTATTATTTTATTATTGTTGAATGTAATACTTGCAGTACCTCTGAAGCAACTTACAATACATTACACACTGACTAGCTTGTAGTATCTTTGGAATAAAGAGCTTTTAGAATGTTAAAAAACTATGGGGGGTGGGGGGGGGTATATTATTTAACACCCCTACCCACCCCCACAAAAGCAGGATGGTTTTGATCTCACACAGCTCTGGACACATCTATGTGTAGCCATGCATCCACATTTGAACAGAGTGGACAGTGAAATCCTGTAAATACAGAGTTGATAAGGAAGAAAACAAAAAAATCAAACCTGCTTTAAACCCCAGCAACACAACTGTAGCTATATAACTTTACAACAGCAACACTGCTTTAGCAAAAAAGCAAAACATCAAGACTTATTTGACATCAAAACAAAAATTTTAAAAATGCTGTCTAATCGCTGTACTTTGATGTCATACACAGAATGGTCTGCGCAGTGCTGCTTTAGTCAAACACCTTTTGTGTTTTATTAGGAGACGCACAACAGTTCTTCTGTGGCTTTATAGGTAATAGTTTCACTTATTTAGCAAAATCAGACAATATTGTGTCTAATATAAACCACAATATTTACTTCTTATTATTGAATTGCTGTAAATAAATATCACATTTGGAACTGGTTAGTGCTCAAAAAATGCAGGGAGATCACTTCATGTAGCCCTACAAGAGTGATTACTGATAATCTTAATAATCTTGATAGAAATGTAGTGGAGTGAAAAGTTCAATATTTTTCTTTCAAATGTAGTGAAGTTAGAGTCATAAGTTCCCAGAAAAAATAATACTCAAATAAAGTACCGATACTCAAAAAGTGTACTTAAGTACAATACTCAAGTAAATGTAATTAGTTAATGTCCACCTCTGATTTTATGTGATACGCTGTCGTGGCATTCGACACGTGCAGAAGTAGGCAGACCCAGACTGACAGCTGGCATCTGAAAAAAAAATAAAAATGTAAAGATTATTTACGATTAATTATTGTTGCCATGTTATCTAGTCATTGCTTGTTTACAGTGCTACAGCAGTTTGTTAGAGATCGCGATCTATCTCATTTGTTTGTCTAAAGAATTGCCGACAGATATGAACGTACAAGTTACACTGTAATTTAAACGCGGCAGATTTTAATAAACAGTAAAACAAAGGCAGAATACCGTACAACTCCAGGCTGGCACAGTAATATTGCCGAACGGCTAAACAAATGCAGAGCACCATAACTTAATTTGAGCGGTCTAAAACAAAGTCAAAGAGCGGTAACTGATGATACTGTGTTGTGCCTTGGTTTTTCTCCGGGGCTTTTCTCCAAGATACTTATTGATAAAGGAGGTCATATGTCCCAAAATTATCAATAACTCATTTTCGACCAAAAACGAAGTTATGGTGTTTTGTCTTTGCACGGCAGCACTGCTGTCACCTTAGACGGGTGTGCTTACAGCAACCAGGCACCTCAGCTTCACCCACATCCCGCCTTTTTGCCCATTTTCGATTATCCGGGAGTGACACGCTGCCAAGATGGCGACGGTTGGCTCCGCCCACTTTAGGCTTAAACAATGCACTTTAGAAAACTACGAGTGACGTCACGGACCCTACGTCCGTCCCTGAGTCTCAATGTTCATACTATCCATACTAAATAGTATGTGAGATTAGAATAAGGGTGTCCCAAAGCATAGTATGTTGAAAAGAGTATGCCAGGGATGTCAGTGGTTCAACTGTAAAGTTACGAAGCCACGAGAATACTTTTTTGCGCAAAGAAAACAAAAATAATGACTTTATTCCACATTTTCGTCTCTACTGCGTCACTTGTGGACGCGTGTTCATATTTGACAGATTTCTGGAGTTTTATTTTAAGTCTTGATGTCCTTAAGAATATATATTTGCGGTATAAGTACCAAAAACCATCTCAATATATTTTTACAGCTCCTCTCTCAGAAGCTCTGCAAAGAACAGGTCGAGTTTGGCCTGTCTAATTAATATTCATGAGCCTCTCTTCTGATTGGTCTGTTGTTTTCTGAGTGATGCACGGCCAGGCCAACCACAGGTAACTAGGGTCATGTATGCTGTAGCCTGCTGTGGATCGGTGATACTCACAAGTAAGGTCAATAGAAACATCGGTAATGATGGTCAATGCTGAGGGAAATGTCCGGCCTTACATGTTTGAGCCGAACTCAGACCCCGAATCGGCGACGACAGGAGACAACCAACCACATCATCACAACAGGATGTTTCAGAATGGTAATTAATGTTTTTTTTTTTTTTAACACAGAATGCAGTAAATACAAACCTGACCAGCTGAGCGTTTGCGATCACGTGAACTTGAAGACACTTGTACAAATGCGGATAAGTGACTTGAATGGAAATGATTCCAGATTGGCGATGCAGTATTTGGTTTCTGTATTCTGTACTGTATTTGCCTGCGCTCAAACCTGCCAATCTAAAGGATCAAACGCTGTGTATGGCGTATGAGGTAATTTGTGAATTAGCATAGACTTATAGTCCAAATAAAACAATTGGCAACTGTTACTATTATTACTTCAAAACTGCCCGTCCCTGGAACACAGTTTCCCCTTAAATGTTGTTTTTCAGTTTAAAGCAGTTACGTGCACAAGTTACATAAAATAACTCAATGTCCCTATGGACTATATACTACCTTGATCATTGTATGTTTAAAAAGATACATTCAACAGTTATATGCTGTGTAATATGTACTTAAATGAGATTAATGCAATCAATGCAAAATTAACAAAATAAAAAATTTTCATAACAGCTGTAAAAATGAATTTGACCAGAATTTCTGATTCGTAGCAAGCTGAATATCTAGATAGTGCAGTTAATATTTAGAATGTTGTCGTGGCAATTTTTAATTTCAATTAAAGGTATGAGACAAAAGTCTTTTGAATATTTATTTTCTTGCAAGAAAAGATAAACAGTCAAGTTGACTGCAGAGGAAACACCCCAACTCAACATTTACACCTTCATAAAATGCGGATGGTTTGATCTCATCCAATCATAATGCATATTCAACATACAGTGGGTACGGAAAGTATTCAGACCCCCTTAAATTTTTCACTCTTTGTTATATTGCAGCTATTTGCTAAAATCATTTAAGTTATTTTTTTTCCTCATTAATGTACACACAGCACCCCATATTGACAGAAAAACACGTTGTCCAACTATGGTACTTCTATCGTACACACACACACACTAAATAGATTTCCTGTTATCTCTCAGCTCAGCGAAAACTCAAACATACTGAAGCACTCAGAGACAGTCTAAAAAACACTCTTTAGTACAGTGAAGCAAATAATACTAATAATAATATTAATATTTCAGATAGAAATACAATTTCCTCCACAATGTTACCAATGAATGGTAACTACATCTTATTTAAAATTTGTAAAACATTGGAAATCTTGAGTTTTCGTGAGATATTGATATTGACTAAGTATCTTGGTTTTAATTAGATTTCCCCAAGAAACAGGGAAGAATGGTCTCATGAATGGACCGTCCACCATGATTAATGTTCTTTCTGACAACAAAGCACCTGAAAGGGACACACTCGTATTTGCGACTTCAGAAATAGGAAATTTCAGATTAATATCAGGTGTAAACAGAGATTGAGATGCAAGCCTCTTCGAGTCTGCATAAATTACTTGTTGGACTTCTATTAGTGGAAAGTTCTTGGGTGCTTTATTTAAAACAGTTCATACTGTGTCTACACTGCAAATAAGCAGCCAACAGATCAATATATAGTTGGCGATTTATCGAGCAATTACTTTTCTATAATTGCTTTGCACAAGCCTGCTGGAGATATAAGCTATATGCACATGCACATGTGCTCTGTGGATACAGCTGTAATTCATTACATTTTTATTAGAAACCTGGAAAATACATTCTATTCTATTTCTATTTTCCAATAGAAATAACTGGAGGGGCTCGAGTGTAATGTTTTAGTCTTGCACTGTATATTTGTGTTCATGAATCAAAGTCAAGAGTAAATTATGTGTTTTCTGGTTTGAATATGATTATTTGTTTGGACATAAATACATCACAAATATGCTTACTGAATATACACTTTACCTACTGATTGCACTGCATTATTTCATTCTGTATGTTTTCTTTTCTTTTGAATTTATTTGAATCCACTTTTAAATTAAACTTTGGTCTTTTTCTTTTCAGTGATTTTAAAAGACTTTTACATTTCTTTCTTTTTTCTTTGTCTTTTTTCCATGCCCATGTAAAACACTTATCACTGCGCATGTTGCACTATATAAATAAACCTGTGATGAAAAATGACAAAGAATGGTTTGA